TTCGCGTCTTTGCTGTTAGGGACCGCGCGACAGCAGCCAGCACTTCTAGGCCCTAGGCACGGGAGCTCCGAGGACCCGCCGAGCATATCCGCAAAAGCAGACAGCCGGTTCCAACGTCCAACGCGCTCAGAGGTTCTTACCTGGGAGGACAGGCGGACACCTGGCAAGGCTCCACCCCTGTGGCAGGCCGGGTGCTGGGGTCACAGAAGGACGCATTCACCTGGAGCCTCGGCTCCCCGTAGCAGACTTCTCTTGTGATCATCTGCCCTGTGTGAAAAGGTGACACGTATGACAAAGACACGAACAGGCCCCGTGGCAACGGGCAGGTGGACAGCTAACGAAATCTCATTAAAAAAAAACCTTTACGGCACGTGCATCTTCCTGCTAACGACCAACGGGCCGATTCCTGCTCTTCCCACTTTCCCGACCTGTCTTCATGGTGTTCGCGAGTGCGTTTCACCAGCTCTGTGAGGCATGCCCGCTTCCCCCGTATCTGAACATCTTTAAAATCAACGTGGGTCTCGCGATCGACACCAGCACACCTGTGACGAAACACGCTCGTTTCTCAATACCGTTTCCATAGTCGACGCCGGCCACTTTGCACAAGAAACGTGATACTACCTAAGCCGGCCTTGAGTGTCCATTTGAGGGGCACCGTAGGGAGCAATCGGTAATTAACCAGAAGAAATACAGACAGAAAAATAATAATAATAGGCAGTTTATCACTGGAGAAGTCACAGAGCTGAATATTACCAGGGTTTGCGAGCCAAATGGTGAAGTTTTCATAATGATGACGCAGGTGTGGGGGCCACGAGGTCAGTGGAAATGAGAGCGGTCAGATCCCCAGCCTCCACGTACATGTCCAGTGCTAGTTAGGGCCCTGCAGACATCTCTAACTTTGTTCAATGTTGCCACTCATTACATTTACCAAAATAAGTGCGACCGATTACCTATCCGAGGTCCCTAGAATAGTCAGAGTCATAGAGAGAGAAAGCAGAATGTGGGTGGGGTTGGGGGCTGGGGTCAAG